ATGGAATGTACATACATCAATCATATTGTCAATTCTATTCTGCTGCCCTTCCTTACTCCTTACTCCTCCCTTCCTCTCCCATCCTTTCTCTCTATCCAATCTAATGTGACACATTTTTTCCTTTTTCTCATTACAACATCTTATATGTATTCTGTATAATAATGAGGTTCTCCTTCCATCTTCCGTGCAACTCCCCTTCTCCCTCTTTTTCCCTCCCACCTCTCTTCACTATTTAGTGGCAGTCTTCTTCTCATTGTCTTCTTCCCTATCCCATTTTGAGTCACCCCCCTTATATCAGAGAAGACATTTGGAATTTGTTTTTTAGGGATTAGCTAACTTCACTTAGCATAATCTGCTCTAATGCCATCCATTTGCCTGCAAATGCCATGATCTTGTTATTTTTTAGTGCTGAGTAATATTCCATTGTGTATAAATGCCACATTTTTTAAATCCATTCATCTATTGAAGAGCATCTAGGTTGGTTCCACACTCTAGCTATTGTGAATTGTGCTGCTATAAACATTGATGGACTTGAACAGAAACTTCTCAGAAGAGAATATACAATCAATCAACAAATACATAAAAAAATGTTCACTATCTCTAGCAGTCAGAGAAATGCAAATTAAAACTACTCGAAGATACCATCTCACTCCAATAAGAATGGAAGCCATTATGAAGTCAAGCAAAAATAAGTGCTGGCGAGGATGTGGGGGAAAACGTACACTTATACATTGCTGGTGGGACTGCAAATTGGTGCAGCCAATTTGGAAAGCAGTATGGAGATTCCTTGGAAAGCTGGGAATGGAACCATCATTTGACCCAGCTATTTCCCTTCTTGGACTATACCCAAAAGACCTAAAAAGAGCATACTACAGGGACACAGCCTGGAGAATTCTTTATCAAATGTCCCATATGTGGGAGGTTGGTGAACATTATTTAATTTATATTGTGGCCAAATTTGATTTTCATTTCAGTTGGGGAGTAAAGGGTCTTAAAATTGGTAATGAGACAACCCATTGGGAGTCCTTGGGAATTTACTGGGTAACTCCCATGTTGAATAGGTTTGTTTCATTGTAGTRATACTTCAAGATCAGAGCGTCTCCCCAAAATCTTACCTGTCTGGAGTGGTCTGTTCCATTGAAGACTGGAAGAACATCTACACCTCATTCTCAATGGTGGGGGACCTCTAGGGTTCATGTTGGCTAGAAGAGGAGGGTCTTGGGCAGGATACATTTGTGTGGGAGACCAGATGGGAYCTTACCTTTCTGGAGAATTTGTAGGTCCATGATATGTTCAGGAACAAAAGGGCAAAAAGTGGTCTCTGACCAGAGGTCTGCCAGGTATAAGGGAAGGGAGGGTTRTTGAGGGGAGAAGGAGGAAGTGGGATGCCTGCAATGTCAAAAAACAAAACAACAACAACAACAAAAAACCCAATACATATCTTTGCACCATCCACATAGCAATAAGTGCACAAAATAATACCCCAGGGATGAGGTTAGTATTAGATAGTGTACTGGCAGGTGTTGAGCCAAATGGACTTAGAGCACATGAAGGGCCYGCTTCTACAGAGTGGGAGATCAGAAGGGGAACAGTCAATGTGGCTATTCAGCCATAGCTGCAAGAGCTGTGGCTGGGGGCTTCCCTGACCTCAGAGATCCATGGGGGAGCTGGATAATCAACAGCCATTTCCCAAGTCTCATTAGCTGTGTAATGTGACTGTTGGGGGAGGGTTCCTTAGGACAGGAAATGGTCATTATCCTCTTACTCCCGGTTTCTGGTCAGATAACAAAAATGTAAGCAAAACTAACAGATGGGAGCAGACTTCAATGGATTCAGTGTTGCCATTTATTAAGCCTCAGAGGCAATTCATCAGGCATTGAAGGGGCTCATTTTTAAGGYAGAAAATGGCTACCAGTTTTAGTGAGGGTAGCTTAATGATTGGAGAGTGAAACAGAACATGTCAGTTTAGGCAGTCAGGAAAAAAGTTATAAACTATACAAAACTTATTGTTACTGAGAATGGGTAAAAGCTCAGAGCTCAGTGCTCATTGTTTATTTTTCTCCTCCAAGATTCATTGTTACCCAGAGCTTTACCATTTCGTTTTCTCTTTCTAGGATTCATCAACAATGGCAAGGTTTGAAAATACAGAACACAGGGCTCAGTAATGCCTCCTCCCTTAAGGACCTACTGTTACAGGGAAGGATTAATGTTTGTGTTCTTCCCCATTCCTCCTCCTGGGCTACACAGCCCTCCTTCCTGCCTGGGGGCTATCTTGGGCAATAGGCAATATTATTTTTCATGTCCTTCAATACATATATAGGCAAGTGTTGTGCTASTGTGCTCTATTCCCAACCCTTTTAGAATTTTTATTTTGAGATGGGATATTGCTATATTTCCCAGGATAGTCTTGAATTTGTGATCCTGCTGCCTCAGTTTCTCAAGTATCTTGTTTTACAGGTGTGTACCAGTATGCCTTATCTGGATGATAAATTTTTTTGAAGAAATTGTACAACACAGATATTTTTAGATAAAAAAGTGACAGTGTACTCAAATCCAAGCCACAAAACCATAGGAAAGATAAGAAGGAAGTATATAAAKAACATGGAATAGCTGGGTGCAGTGCACATGCATGTAATACCAGTGGCTCAGGAGGCTGAGGCACAAGGATTGCAAGTTTCAAGCCAGCCTCAATAACTTAATGATTCCCTCAGCAACTCAACGACACTCTGACTGTAAATAAAGCGTAAGAATGGGGATGTGGCTCAGTGGTTAAATTCCCCTGGGTTCAATTTCTGGTACCAAACAACCACCAMCAMCAACAACAACAATAACCAGAATTAGCGCTTGACAGTAGACTTTCAATTTCCGAAGCCAGTCATGTTTTGAGTTGGTGATCCACAGGACATGTGGGTATTCAGTTACATAGTGTCTAGAGCTGGCATCCCCTATAATTGAACAGACTTCCTGTGTTTTGGGGATTTTTTTCCATTTTATTTTGCTTAAAATATCCTAGTAGTGACCTCTTTAAATATGCTGTGTAGTGAAGAGGATGTAGTTCAGAAGTAGAGTGATTGCCTAGCACATGTGAGGCAATGGGTTCCATTCCCTGAACTGCAAAATAAATAAGTAAATAACTAAAAAATATTAGGTAGGTAGGTAAATTGAATGTGTAATTTATTGACACTTGGAATATTGTGATATACTCACCACTTTTATCTTGTTCCAAATTTTTTAATTACCACAAAAGCAAGCCATGTTTCCATTAACCAATCACTCTACAATACTGCCTTTTCTGGCTTCATTTTTTTAGTTGTTTTTCTGTTGGGTTTCCATAGTCTGGATATTTTATATATAAGAAACCACAAAATATTTAATTTTTCTGTCTTGTTGGTTTACTTAATATTTTAGAGGTTTACCCACATTTTACCTTGTACCAGTATTTCATTTTATGGCTCAGTAATATTCTACCATATATGTATGTGTTCTAACCCACACATATCACATTTTATTTATCCATTCTGTTGGTGGATATCTTTTTGCTAGCTTGAGTGGTTCCCCTATGAACATTCATGTCTAAGTGCTTGAGTTTCTGTTTTAAGTTTATTTGATAAATACTTAAGAGTTGAAATCATAGGTCAAATAATAATATTTTTATTTAGCATTTTAATGAAGCCCCAACTACTTTCTATGACATCTGTAGCATTTTTTATTCTTATTCAAAATGGACAGTGAGTGCTGGCGTTGTGGCCTAGTGAAAGAGCACTTGCCTAGCTTGTGTGAGGCACTGGGTTTGATTCTCAGCACTGCATATAAATAAATGAATAAAATAAAGGTTCATTAATAATGAAAAAGTATTAAAACATAGGTAGTTACTTTCAGTTCTCCATATTCTTACTAATATTTATTTTTGTTTTTACTTTTTACTGTAGCACCTTTCTAGGTGAAAAGCAATATCTCATTATGTTTTTAGATTTTGTTATTGGTAAAGGGAATAAAACCAGGTATAATCTACCATTAAGCTACATCCCCAGCCCCTTTAATTTTGTATTAAAATTTATTTTTATGTGGTGCTAAGGATTGAACCCAGGGCCTCACATGTGCTAGGCAAGAGCTCTACCACTGAGCCACAACCCCAGTCCCTGTTTTGTTTTGTTTTGAGAAAGCATCTCTCTAAATAACCCAGTCTTAACATTAACTTGGAATGCTTCTGCCTCAGCTTCTGAGTAGATGGGATTACTTTCTACCACTGCAGTGTGTGGCTAATTTTATTTTTCATTTGGTATTGGAAATTAAGCCCAGGGGAGTTTTTCCAATTTTTTAAATTTTTATTTGTTTTTTATTGTAAGAGAAGGTCTTGCAAAGTTGCTGAGGCTGGCCTCTAATTTGTGACCCTCCTGCCTCAGTCTCCCAAGTTTTTGGCATTACTGGTGTATGCTTCCATGCCTATCTCAAAATAATTCTTAAGAATAAGTGTAACATAAGATATTTTTAAACAAAGAAAGAAAGAATGTACTTCTAATAGACCATCACATATTAGGTCAACCATCCCGTAATAATATTTCCAGAATGTAATAAATGGAATAAATTGTAGATATTCATAAACATGCAGATGAAGACATTGATTCAAAAATAGGGTGAAATTATGCATAGAGTTCTTTCTATCTCAATAATTATTTTGTTGTGATAGAAAGTGTGGGATCCGGGACTGGTGTTGTGGCTTAGTGGGAGAGCACTTTCAAGGGGCCTGGGTTCTATCCTCAGCACCACATAAAAATAAATAAAATAAAGATATTGTGTCCAATTACAACTAAAAATAAAATAAAATAAATTATATAAAAATAAAGTGGAGAATCCTACGTTGATCAATATTTTTCTGAGAGAAAATTTTGCAAAATAGAGAAAATTGTTCTAATACGAGTGGAAAAATCCTTCAGGTAAGTTTCATCAGAAGATGGCCTTTATTCCCACATGGAAGTTGAGTAATTTATGTTATTTGAGTGTCAGCCCTGATCAGCACTGAGTGTGCCATAGCCATTGGATACAAGCATCTGGAAACATACAAGGATGGCATCTCTGGTACATGTCAAGCCTATGGCCATTGAAATGATGGAGTCTGCACAGTACAGGATGGCAAAGCAGCAGATCAGCAAGAGAATGGTGTGAGTGGCCCTTTGTTCTGGGGAGGATTTTGGAGAGAACCTGGAATTGTGAAGATGCTGGGACCACTGTGTTTGTCTGTAAATGAGAATGACCATGTACTCAATGAAAAGAACCATAAGGCCCACAAAGAAGACATCTCTGCATGCCATAAATGTCAGAAAGAATGGCCTGTGGAAGTAGCTCATGGGCAAAAAGGAACAGTGTTCAGTGATGTACAGAAGACCAGGCTGGATCTTATTGGGTGTAGCCACTGTGTAGATGAGCAGGATCCTGCAAGTGGATATGATTAGGACCCATAAGAAAAAAAAATAACTTCACAGTGGGATTGGTAGATTCCAATTTGAAGTTAGCCAACTGGGAGCCACTGGGGCTGATGGTGATGGCCTGAAGCACACTCAGGACATAAGCGGTACAGATTGACAGCCTCCTCATGACCTTGTTGAGAAAGACAAGCACTTTGCATTTGAAGTCACCTGGAATGTCTTGTGTTTCCCAAATGTCTGTAGACACCAAAAGGACCATGGTGAGGAGCATGAGGATGTGTGTTAGAGCCAAGTAGGTGATGGGGAGGTCTGTGAGCCTGGGCTTATGGCCCATGTGGACAGCATCAGTGTGGAGACAAAGCAGAATTGCATTTAATGAGATCCCAATGCCAGCCTGAGGTTAGAAGGCATTTCTTATGGCTATATAACTAAAATATTTGTCCATCTTCAAGGGGATGTTCAAGCAAATATTTCTGAAAGGAAATACAGAACTGTGTGTTACAGCAGCAGAATTTTTATTGATAGGCTTCCAATCATGAACTCACACTTTTATTTTTATATACTCATTAATTATCCAGACCATTTTATGTAAATAGAACTGGCTCTGATGCCTCATTTAATCTTCAAGTAAGGTCTGGGGCATGGTTCTGGGTTGAAACCTTGCCTAGCATGCATGACTCCCTGGGTTCTGCCAACCACACTGCATTCAATATGTATATCAGCATCACTTACTCCTCCAATGAGAGATTTTTTAAATCTCCCCGTCTCCTCATGGAATATCCATAATATATCTTTATTTGTAATCCTGTAGTACTTAATGTGCTTTTGTTTATGTCAATAATTACATTATTTAATGGGTAGTTTTTGTTTATTTTTCTATTTTTCCTGCATATATCTTAAGGGTGGAGATGTCTCCTTATTTAACTTTGTATCTAGAAGACCTAAAACTGTGCTGCCTCGATGGACGTTGCTCAACAAATACTGCTGATGTAAGTTATGGAGGAGTAGAAATAGGAGTCTTCCAGGAAAAATATTTCAAGAGGCCCATTCTCATGATTTATTTATGAAAGTGCAGGACACATAATTATTTACTAGTGTGCATCCCAGACCCAGCAGCTTGTGTTTATCCGAGGTCCACCACTTATTAGCCGGGTGAGCATTATCAATCAGTTAACATCATGAATAGAAGTGGAGGAGGACAATACTTTTCTCAAAACATTATTGGAGTAAGCAAGTAAATATGTGAAAATCATTTAGAAAATGCTTGACATGTATGAAACATTATAATAGTGTTAATTATTGGTTMATTATTTATCATCACCTAACTTTGGCTTAGGAGGGTTCACATAGTACATTAAAGATTCCAAAGCTGAGAGGAGAAAAGCCTATCATAACATTGGCTTCCTGTGGCAAACTTTAATCCTTGGTTACTGGAGAAATTCTAGGTTTTTTTTTTTTTTAAAAGTTCATTTTTCCCAGAAAATAACTTAGATATATTTGCATTCATAATCCATTGTGTGGAGACCCCTGGTAGAGCCTCTTAATTATGAGTCAAAAAATATTATAGTAATGCTTTCATTTTTTTTCTCAGACCTGTGGATTAGAAGAGAAAATATATCTTCTGTCACAATGAGTTGGAGCATCCTTTCCAGAAAATGTCTCTTAAAAGGTATTCAGTCATGGCTTGAAACATGTCCAGCTGCTCCCAAGTAGAAATTGTGACTTTAAGTCTCCTTAGTTAATTTTATATATGTATGTGGATTTCTGTGGGAACATGGGTAAAAATTGAACTGAATGACCAGACCATGACTTAAATCCAGGCATTTTACTCAATGTCTTTAAAATAAATAATTTATTAAGTATTTTTGATCTGTAAAATACTGTGAAAATAGTAATAATTCCCGAGCCTCCATTAGATAAGTAAGAATAATACAATCATGACTTTAATAATCCATCATAATTTTCCCAACTTTGTTAAATAAATTTTTAATGGAAGGAAGAGTTACCAAGAGTCCTGATTTTTGACACAATGCTCCTGATGTCAAGGCAAAAATCTTGGAAATACAGAGAAATGATAGGGACTCAATCAAGGGAATCCACCTAGGCCCAGTGTGGAATGTACAAATACCATGTGCTGCATGAAGCTCCTGAGACTTTTGATTAAAAACTTGGATCCAGTGAAAGGTTGAGCCAAGATTGTGTTTTTGCTATTGTGACATCTCCTACCCCAGGGTGTTTGTGTGATTTATGAAGTATAATTGTCATAAACAGAAGACCAAAATTAACTGAAAACCCAATGTTAAACCTAGATATGTTTTGTAGAAAAGAACAAAGTTTTGGAGACTTAAATTCAGCAAATTACCCCTTCTTTTATCTCTCATTAGAAGAATAYAGGTTACACACATACTCTTAATAAATGTAATGAAGTGTTCAATTCCAAGAGAAGTCAACTATTTCAAACTGAAATCTAGGCATTGGCCTCAGGACCTGTCAAATTCAACCTATCACACTGCAACTGGCACATCCATCACCAAACAGGAAAAGGAACAAACTCAATGAATAAATTTAAGAACACTGGAAGTCTTCCATGTAAATTGATGTTTTAATGGTGCCAGAATATTCCTTACCAAGGATGTGTCTAGCACATTCACTGAGGCCCTGAGAGACACTTTTGAGACACTGGAGCACTCAGAATTAGTCACCCTAACCTTTCAGTCTTCATTAGGGACTCTATCCATGCTTCCTAGTCAGTCTTTTGTCATCCTGCTACCAATAGCTGAATTTGCATATTTTGGAACCAGAATGAAAAATATCTCCTGGATGGATCCAGTTACCATTTTCATCTCCATTTCTTAGGAGATGGTTAACATCCATACACAAAGTATGAAATTGTGTTCAATCAAAGATGAAAATGAAATTGAGCTCAGGTAATATTTTTGTGAAGGAAGTTTTCAATTACAAACATCACCATTTGAGATTTGGCAGGTAGGAGTGGCAAAAATTTCTTTACAAGATAAAATATTTTAAATAAAAAGATAAAACCCCTTTTCTCTAAATTGTTATAAATTTATCTTATTTGCTACAGATGATTCAGTGAATCTACAACAAAGGGTTTGACTAGATATGGAACATTCTGGTGTTAACATCTGTAGTTTTTGCTGACCATGCATTAATAAAGAATAAGTCTCCTGCTAATGGACCAGCTGGGAGGATATGGACATTTCAGATATATATCAGGTACCAAGGAACAATAAGGCATAAGGCAATAGAAACTTTCTCCAGTTAAATGGGGCTATGGTTATGTATACCAACATCACTATGCCATGTCATGAAAACAGAATGTTTTATTTAATTACAAATTTGAATCTATTCTATTTTTCTTTTTTGTTGCATCTCTAGGATGTTCTTTTATAAAAGGTTGATACATGCCTAAATTTAAAAGAAAAGCTATGTTGTAGTAAAGGGGGAAAATTAGATATAGTGAAGCTAGCAACATTTTGAAAGAAAGCAATCTCATTTTTTTTCTATATAAATACATAGTACATATTTCTTCGAAGTGACTACTAAAAACAACATTTTTAAAATAAAATTTTACTTGGTTTATTTTTGATCTTATAAACTAACAAAACTGCAATTGAAACATTATATTTTTTTGAAGTTACTGTAAATCAATCTTTTAAATTATTGTTGCTTTTGAGTATTTATGCTATAAAAGTCATTCATTAGATAGTAATTCTTATAATATAAATTATACTATGAAATAAAAGTAATACTGTGAAATTTTAAGTAATAATACCACAAAGTTAAAACAAGCCCTGTAGCACTTTAGGAATAAATATCTGTGTCCTGGTTAAGAGGTGGAAAAAGCAGACTTTACAATTCCTTCCTCCACCATCTACCCAGGAACCTCCTCTGCATCTTATTCCACTCAGATTTTGAGGTGAGGCCTCCAAGATGAGGTCATATGGGTCAGAGTGCTTTAGCTCATCTCTCAGTAGACTGCTAATCTTGGTGTTGCATCTGAAGTCTGACAGTACCTGTCTTTCAGTAGGCAAGGAGGGAGTCCCCAAAGCAAAGACAAATACTTTTTTCATCCTCAGACTATGGCATATAAGCCCCACATGAATGATAACTTTTTGTGTGTTACTCTTATTTTCCAAGGCCTGAGGAGTCTATGTTGCTGTCTGGGTTCCAATCATTATGAACAAATATAAATCTGCTCACATTGAACCTAAATAGATATGCCCTGACATAAAATAAAATGAAATATAAAAAACTATCTAATGTGATATGTGAATGGAAACACATTTAAAAAATATATTTCTTGGGTGTGTCTACTGAAAACATCTCAGAATCCTGACATCCCAATATTAGTGAATATGTCTCACATAGAGCTTTGATTTCTATATTGTTGTGAAAAGAAGTTATGGAGACTGAACTGAGATATCCTGCACTACAAAGAGAAGAAAGAAAGGATGGTAGGAGTGTGGGAGATAACAACAAAGGAGGAAATGATCTGAATAAGGAAGGAAGAGTCCAGAGATTAATGGGATCACCCCAAATGGGAAGAAAGGCAAGTGTGAGTTTTCTCTTCATTATGGTCATTATTATTCCCATCAATATCTATGGGTCCTTATTTAGTCCACCTAGTTAGTCTACTCCACCACCTCTTTCGTCCAAGTCATGTCTGAATTTGTGGCTGGTCTACCATAGTGTTAAAGACAATTTCACCACATAACCTGTATGAGTGATGGCTGACCTTGGAAGTAATACTCCAGGTATGTAGAGTATAGTGTAGCCACTAGTAAGTGGTGTGAGAACTTCAGATGTCAGGCACCCAGGATTCTCTCCTTTCCACCTCAGTAACAGTAAAAACAAAGAAAAGACAAAAAACTCTTTTGGTCAACTCTGGCTTGCCAAACACCTACTATTGGCCTGACAATTCTTTCTTTCATAATTATATTAGCCACAATTTTTCCACAGTTTTACTGATGTGTTACAGTTGTCTATAATGGTAGAGTTTGTTGTTACATGTTCATACATGTGCACAATATATCAATATAATTTGTCCAATATCATTCCCCTGTATTTCCTCTTTCCCTCCTGCTTCCTTCCTTTGTCCCTTTACAGTATACTACTAATGTCCCTTACAACATTCATGAATTTCTCCCTCCAACAGTCTTTGTATTATTCCAATTTTTGTGTATGTACTGACAAAGCAATCAGAGAAGAATGTTTTTCCTGTTGATTTTGGATTGCCAGAAATATACTATTCTTCTTGTTATTATTGTGGTGTCCAGGTGGGGTCCAAGTCCTTGGTATCCTTCACAAAGA